CCCTCCTTTGGTACCGTAGGATTTTGGACAACTAGCGCCATGCTGCAATTCGGGCGCCACTTTCAAATACTGCATTTTTTAGTTCTGCCCTCGGGGTCTTTGCAGAAATGCCCCTGGTACCGTACGTGTCACCGGTACTTATACCGGCTCCCCGTACGGTACGGGGACCAGTCTCGTACCAGTTCTCGGCTGCTGTACTCGTACTCAGTGTGACTTGCTGTTTCGGCATTCGGAATCCAAGACTTCGACTTTGTGACTTGCCACTGTGTCTGCGTCCGACCCTCAGTCCGAGTCCGTCGTGTCAAGTGAGTGAGTGTGTGTGTGTGTGCTCTCCCTCTCTCCCTCTCTCTCCTCTCCCTCGGCTCACCCTCAGCCTCACGCTCGTTACACCAACAGTGCTCATACTGATAGGGGAATATCCCTTTAATAGTTAATTTTGAGAGTTTTTTCAATGCATCAGTAGTTAGCATTCTTGATGGAGTCTCCAGACTTTTGACTCATTCCCTTCTTTCTCAGTTTTTCAGGGACGTCAAGGGTTCACAAAGGCATACCTATGATCAAGCCTGATCCTCTCCAATGAATAATGTCAGTCTCCTTCTCTAGTCCAGTATGGTACCTCACACATGAAGAGATAAGACTCAACTAACAACTAGGATTTCAAAGAAAATAATGACTCAATCAAGACGTCAGAGTCAATCTGAAAATCAGAATTTTGTTGGCAGTTCTCATGTCCTAATCAAAAGCTCAAACCGGTTGCTGACCCAGGCTTGTTCGAGACACGAAAACTTTTCATGTCCCGGCAACGACACCATTTTTGTCGCACTTTTTCTAGTCGGGCCTCTTCAGGCGACCAGAAAGCCAACAGGTTGTCACGCAGGATTTTGAATGGTGTTTGCAATAAATAAAATAAAATAATTAAAGCAAATCCCTTCCTGTTGTGTGCATCCGGCTTCGAGCGAGACCCTTCAATTGCGGTCTTCGCCGGTCTCCGAGCTTAGGAATCTTTTATTTTGATTCGGAACAGCAAGAATCATGCAAATATTAATCATAAAATTTTGGTATTTCGTGCATGCATCAATTTTACCAATTTTTTTATTTTAAGAACTATGACAGTATCATCAGAGAACATGATCATCAAGCAAAAACAATATAGAAGATGCAGGACTGACTGACTCGAGCAATGACAAAGGTAAATGAGGGAAGAATGAAAAGTCGTAATAATCTCAGAGAGTACATATGAAGAGAGCATGGTCAACACTAGTCAAGAGTCCTCACTCATCCCTCTGAATCACACACTCAATCTCTCATTTTACCGAGCGTTTCTTGTGCTTTGAGCCATGTCTCCGTACTGCCTGAGGTTGTGGCCTCTGGATGTAGAGCCACCTGAAACCCGCAAGCTCCGAGCATTTTCATCTGAGTTCCATGATACGAAAGTCAACCATAGCACAAAACTTCTCCCATACAGTACGAAGATATGGCTGAGAGAAAATCCCTCGTTTGAGATGCGGAAACTCTGATGGTTCGGTCAGTGCCTCGTAATCAATCGTCGCAGCCGAGATATATCTTTTGGCCAAGTCCACCAGATCACCTCAACAAGAACCGTCCATGAGAGGAAAGGGTACTGGAGGCTTGGGATAGTCAGTGTAAAGCTTAGGTCCGAAGTTGCGGATCAGCGATATCCCACTCTCATCAAACTCTCTCTCTCTCTCTCTCTCTCTCTCTCTCTCTCCTCAAGGTACCTTGCTGCTGAAACCCAGACTGAATCAAAATGCTCACGAGTCTCCCTGCCTTTCTTCAGATAGAGAGTCTCAAATCATGAATGGTACCCTCTATGCATGAAGCCTGTTGCACGGATATACCAATACTGGAAAGTATCGTTGGAAGCTATCCTGTTGAGACTGACTAGGACAATCTCCTGGACTGAAAATGACTGTACTGCACTCATGTGCTGATGTTGGTTGTTGAAACTGATCTCTCCGCTCTTCTATGAGAGTAATGCTTCGATATCTGATGAGGCAAAAGAGGGCGACCGATGGCTGTCTGATTCTGATAGGGAGTTTCGAGTATCTCAGATGCATGGATGTTAATTGAGTACTGATTGAGTGTTGACTTATTGTTGATTGACAGTTGATTGACTGCTGATTGAGGCTTTATAGCAATGCAGATGATTAGGTGACGTTGGGATAATAAGTCACTGAACACTGGTCACTTAACTACGGAACGCCGAGAGAGTCGTTTGTTCGTTGGTTGGTGTTTAATATTTGAAGTGTTGTTAGGTGTCTCAGGAGGGGAAAGCAAGTATGCCTATGTTCACCTCAACGTTGCCCTGGCCTGCTCTACCATCTCTAGAAATTAACCCGTGCTGTGAAGCTTGCCGTCATTGCCAAAAAAGTAGATCACATACTTTACGTACTTTTCCTCCCCAACCCTTCGGATTGCACTCTCTCTTAGGACC